ATGTTATTTTTAACCATTTCACTGCCACATCACAGGCTTGGCCTGCCCAGTGGGTGCTGCTGGATTGAACCCCCCATGGTTCATCTTTTTAATTCCAGCTCTTTAATTCCCAGGGCAGCCAGCAAGCAGGGCATGAGCCCTAAAAGCAGCCAAGAGAGGACCAGATTTTGATGTCTCGAGGGTTTTAAATAAATCCATCCCCAGGGACCGCAGTGGGATGAACAGCAATCGAACCGCCGGTGCATCCAGCCCTGCGTGGCTGAGCGCTGGGGTTTGGCCCCGTGGTGCAAAGGCAGCACACAGGGGAGAGGAGCAAACGCCGTCGGTGGATGTGGAAACAAGGAGAGCCTGACCTTGACCCCGGCGGACCATGGGCGAGAAACTCAGCCAGCTCCTCGGCGGCTCTGGCTTGGTGCTCTCCGGTGGATGTGGGCTCGCCCGGTGATGCCGCAGGCTCAGCTTCCAGCCCGGCTCGGGGTTTTCCGTCTTGCTTGGCCTTGAACCAGCCCCTTCTCATTGCTTTAATTTTGCCCTACATCCCAGCGGCGCTGACACCTCCATCTCACCAAAGATGGTGGCACCCATCGTCACCAGGTGCTAACCCCGGACAGGGAGACCTGTCCTGACCGGAGCACCCAGTGGGTGCAGGGAGAGGCGCTGGCCCCCCCCAGCCTCCGGATGCACCCAGCACCCAGCGTCGCATCCCCGCGCCGCACGTCGCCAGCCCTGTGCCGTGTCCCCATCCCTCTGGCCACTCGTCCCCTGGGTAGAGCCCGCTCAGGGAGAACACGGAGCCCCACGGGGGTGTTTCTCTGGCCGCTCAGCTCGGGGAGAAGCCCCCTCCTTCACCCGCCGCCCAAGCATGGGTGCGGACTGTGCCTTGGAGGCTGAACTGGGGAGAGGTCCTGGGCCAAGCGGGGCCGAACTGGGGCAAGTGGTGCGTGCCAAGCAGGATGGCAGGGGCCCAACAGCGGAGCCAAGGGGCCGGAGCCTCCAGAAGAGGGCACTAAACCAGGGCCTGCCCGTGCCGCCAGGTCCCTGCTCCCAGGAAAGAGCAAATCCGTGGGAAATTAAAAAGCGAGGGGCAATGGCGAGTGCAGAAAATAAATCTGTGCTGCTTCTCTCCCCCCCCAGCCTGGCTTTGCAATGCAAAGGGAGCAAGGACATCTCCGCAGTGGCTGGTGGCTCCGGTGCCCACCCTGCCATGGGGATGTCCTGGCTGGGATGGCACCAGCGGGCAGGGGGTTGGGTGCTATGGCCAAGGGCACGGGGGCTGGCAGTGGGGGGAGCAGGAGGAGGGCAGCATCCCCTTGCTCACATCCCTCTGCCACTGCTCCCCACAGCGAGCCCAGCGCTGGGGGCAACGGTGAAATCGGTTGTTTATGGCAGAGGTGTTTCTCCAGGGTGGCTCTTGAGCAAAAAGACTTGTTTCATCAGGAAAAAAAACAACAAACCAAAGCCCTGATCCTTCCCTGCGAGCGTTTCTGATCAATCCCTGCACCAGCCGGCCCTCTTGCTGCCTGACCTCAGGTAAATAACCCTCCTGGAACCTCAGTTTCTCCCCTGGAGTCTGATTCACTCCACTTTTTGGCTGTGCTACAGCTTCACAACGGAATTATCACTGGGCACCAGCTCTGTCCCCACGTGGGACCAAAGGTGGAGACCCTTGGGGTGTCCCCAAGGCCACACGGGCACGGTCAGGCAGCGCAAAGCCCTTCCTCGCCCCGCTCCCCTCCCATGCCAGGAGGGTGACAAGCCACGTTTGTATTTTGGCGAGATGCAAGATAAGAGTTTGTGGTCTGCAAAATGTCAAAGCCACCCGTCGCATCCCCAGGCGTTGGCACCCGCTGCGAGCTCTCGCTCCGGCGGTCGGGTCCTGCTGCCCGCTGCCACGAGCCGCGGGAAACTCCCTCGGTGGGGGGAATTTGGGCCACAGCGGGGTGGCACGGCAGCGCCGGGCACCTTTTTGCCCATCCGCAGCCCGTGGAAGGATGGAGAGCGTTTGTTTTCCACTTCCTTCCTTTTCCTCATGGGGGAACTTTAATCAACAGAAGATCTTGAGGCTTAATTGCATCTGCCAGGAGGTGCCGTATCTCCCTCTGCTTCCACCCTGCCATGCCCCAGTGCCGGATGCCCACCAGCTCCAGTGAGCATGGGAAGATGCTCCCCAGCATCTCCAAGCCTTCTCCTGCCCCAGAAAGGCATTTTATAATTGAGAATGGACTTTTACCTCCCAAAAATGTTGCCTGCGTGAAGCAGCGAGTCCTTTGGGGATCAGGGACCGGGGCTGAGCCTGGCCAGCTGCCCTCCCCACGGCTCCATCCCGCTCCAGCTCCAGCTTCGCATCGGGGCCGCAGCATTGACTCATGAGCCGACCTCATGCGCCTCCGATCCGCCCAGCTGGAAAATCGGGTCGGACCGGGCCCCGGCAGGGAGGAAAACGCTGCGGCTGGGATGGGAGGCAGTGAAGGGCTGCGGGGAGCACACGGTCCCAGCCAAAGTCCCTGGGTGTCTGTTAATGGTGGCCAAAGCAGCCAGCAGCCTCCCGCCTACCTCCGCTGGGACATCATTAATCTTGGCAGAAAAGCATCAGGGCTCCCATCCGCCCCGCTGATGCCGCTTATAAATTACAGCTGGCCCCAAGCCCCCGGTGCTGCAGGGCCCGGGGGGAGGCGGGGACCGGTGGTTTTATGGGGGCAAGGTGTGATCGAAGAGCTGTGAAACAGCCCCATGCACCCATTGCCCGCGGGGCTGGAGGGTCCCTGAGCTCCCCGAGCCCAGCGGCTGCCTCGTGCCTCAGTTTCCCCACGCAGCGCTCAGGGATCAGGCGGCCGCCACGTGTGTGGGTGTCAGCGGGCGCTCCTCTTCCTCCGGCAGGCGCTCAGATAAGGGTCAAGTGCGATGATATAATCCTCCGGGAAATGAGCTTGAAAATGGACCAAGCCATGGATAAAATGTCGTATTGTTCCAGCAGAGAGAGGGGATAGCGGTGCCATGACCTCAGCTCCCCGGCCCCATGGTCCCGGTGACTCACGGCCCACGCCGGTGCAGCAGCAGGATTTGGGATGGTTTTGCAGAGGAACGTCACCCTAGGGTGCAGGCTGCCATGCCGGGATGGGGCACCCAGTTTGGGGGGTGCACCCAAAGGTGCATTTGTTGATTTGGGGTGATTTGTTGATTTGCATTTCATTTGGGGTGGGGGATGTGGACCCCCAGACCTGGTAGCCACCCGGTGCATCACCCCTGGGGCTTTCCCTGTGGCCAGTCCCGGGTCCCCCCGAGGGACGGGCACAACCGGTACGATGGCAGGTAGGAAAGTAGGTCAGGAAAATCCCTCGCCCCGTGCGCGGCGGCGAGAGCCAGGGCCGGCGCCTGCAGCCCTGCAGCGGCTCTGCCTCCTCCCGGCTCCTTTCATCCCTGCCTCTCTGGAGGCTTCGGGAACATCAATGGCAGCTCCCGGCACCCCTGGGAGTTGGGGGGCCGCCACGTCTCGCTCTCACCCCGATCCCACGCGGCACCGGCCGCTCTCCCCCCGGGGCTTTCCGAGTGCTTTGAAACCCTTCGGATGAAAGGCGCCCACTGAAGGGCTGCGGGCGCAGCGGGAGCAGCCCCCCCTGAGACCCCTTCCCCTGGCACCACGCTTGCTGGGACCCCTGGAGCTCGCAGGGGGATGGATTAAGACCCCGAAGCGAGTGGCTGCCCCTCCTTGCCAGGGGTGTTATTTGGATGTGTTTGCGGCACGCACCAGGGGGCTGATGGCCGTGCCGAACATTAAGTATTTTTCCTTATAACCAGTAAAGTAGAACATATAATAGGCTACCAGTCTTCTAAGTCTTCTGTCAGAAAAGGTCTTACAGCTGAACAATGAGGGTATGTGTTGGTAGAGTTAAATCAGGAGAGACTCCGGAAGTATATTACTATGTTTCATAGAAACACAGAATGTTAGTACACCTGCAAAGTACAGTCAATTTCTGCTAATTCACTCCTCTCTTTAAATTAGAAATGAGTTTTTTAAATGACTGTGAAGCTAGGTTTAGTTCAGAGGAGGGAATGTCTGGTTTGATGACCTGATCCAAAGTTTGTTGAATCAACAGGAAAGCTTAAGTGTGAAAATCAAAACTTTACAAGAGACGGAGCAAAGAAGAAGGAAGGAAGGAAGGGTTCCTTCCCCTCAGCTTGGTTTGGGTCCACAATGGGTGGCAGTGACAACGTGGGGACATCTGGGACCCCCCCAGCCACACGCAGCCTGATGCATTTCAACCCCTCCTCCCTCCCCCCTGCCCCCAGCTGGCGTGCCAGGGTGCAGGGTCCAGCCTGGGCATCCTGGGACCCCCTTCCCAGGCACCCGAGCATCACCCCGGCCACGTCCTCTCGCAGCTCCAGGAGGTCGCAGGGTGTAGTGCCAGCACTGGGAGCATCTGCAGAGCCCGTCAGGGGCTTTTTGGCTGCGGGGTGACTCAACGGCAGGGCCTGAGTCAGTGCTGAAGGTGGGGGGCAGGCGGGGGGGAGCTGGGCTCTGCCAGCACCCCGAGCCACTGCCGCCCCGCCACGGGTGATGCAGCAGCTCGGGTTTTGCTCAGCATTTTTGCAAGAGCAAAGGGGACGGTTTGCTCCAGTTGGGGCTGAGATGTGAAGGCAGATAAGGGCTGCCAGTCTGCAGCGTGACATTAAAGAGCAGTGCCAGGAAGGGGAGAGGAGGGGAGGACGGGTTTCAGATAAACAACTGGGGCCCTTTCCACACCCTGCGACGCCACGGTCGTGTCCCATCCCGTGTCCCAGACAGGGACAGCAGTGGCAGTGTGAGCTGCTTGGGTCCTGTCGTCACCAGGGGAAGGCCCCTCTGGCTGGGGAGGAGGATGCTCCACCAGCCGCCAGCCAGACCCACGCTCGATGCTGAACCCTGGCAGGGTGCAAGGGGATTTCTGGCCCCGTGGGGCCGGGCACAAGGGAATCCCTCCTGCCCACCGCCCTGGAGAGGCTTTCCCTGCCGCCTCCAGCACAGGAAAAACCGAGGCCAGCTCCAGCCACGAGCTGCTCCTGGACTGCTGGCATCCCGGGGTCAGGGCAGGCAGCAGAGGGAGGGGGGTCAGGAATGAAGACCCCCGCTCAGCTCCAACAATCTGTGAAGCAGCACCTCAGTGCATGCGAGCGAGGGGACCAGGGGATCTCCTACCATCTCCCCCACGCGCTACCAGGGGATTTCCAAGCACCCCAGGGTGGGCTCGTAGGAAGGCGTGGGAAGGTTTGCTCCAAAGGTTGGCAGGGGTGGAGCGGGGGGGCACGAGCGGAGCCAATGCCATATCTGACCCCCCCGGGGATGCTCAGGGCTGGGCTCCCAATGGCTCCCTGCCCCGCGAGGCAGAGCCCGGTGCCTCCCCGCCTGCTGCTGTTTGCAGGATGTGGTCTGCAGCACCCCGGGCAGAGCAGCAGCCGGCGCATGGCGATCAGCGTGCAGCCCCAGCCTGCATCCAGCCCCAGAGCAGCCCCCCCGCAGCCCCGCTCACCCCTTCTCCTTCTCTCCCCAGGTGCCTGGGCCATGGAGAGCTTCGTGGAGGAGTTTCAGCTGGGTTCCCCGGTGGCCTCGACCCAGTTCCTCACCAAATACTACGAGGATTAGCACCGGCCATCGTGCCCTTCCCCTGCGCAGCTGCATCCCCTTCCCCGCACCGCAGAGCCACCCCCGCCCAGAGCAGGAGGAGACCCCAGGACCTGCCGAGGATGCACCCACCCATCCACCAGCCCAGACTGATAGCAGAAACCCCAGCCCCTTCACTTCCAA